CTCCATTGGGGCCTTCGGTGGAGCTCCCTATGGGGCCACGAAACGCCGTGCTGGGTGTGGCGGACGCATGCGCCCCCCCCACTGGGACCTTCGGTGGAGCTCCCCATTGGGCCACGAAGCGCGGTGCTGGGTGTGGCGGACGCATGCGCCCCGCCCAATGGGGCCTTCTGTGGAGCTCCCTATGGGGCCACGAAGCGCGGTGCTGGGTGTGGCGGACGCATGCGCCCCCCTCCACTGGGGCCTTCGGTGGAGCTCCCTATGGGGCCACGAAGCGCCGTGCTGGGTGTGGCGGGCGCATGCGCCCCCCCACCCCGCCCGCCCCACTGGGGCCTTCGGTGGAGCTCCCTATAAGGCCACGAGACGCTTTACTGGGTGGGAGGAACCATTGGGCGCTTCGGTGGAGCTCCCTATGGAGCCACGAAGCGTTGTACTGGGCGGGTGAAAATGCCAGATTTGGTTTTCGGGGCGCATGCGCACGGTGGCAGTGAAGTATTCGGTGGGGCTCCCTATAGGGCCACGAAACGCTGTACTGGGTGAGTGAAAATGCCACACTGGGTGTTTCGGAACGCTTGCGGACAGTCCCACTGGTGGCTTCGGTGGAGCTTCCTGTGGGGCCACGAAACGCTGTACTGGGCGTGCGGGGCGCATGCGCGCGGCAGCACAGGGACCTTCGGTGGGGCTCTCTATGGGGCCACGAAACGCTGTACTGGGTGAGTGAAACGCGAGGAGGGGGAGGAAGACCACGAAACGCTGTACTGGGTGTGCGGGACGCATACGGGAGGCCACGAAACGATGTACTGGGTGGGTGAAACGCAGGGAGCAGGGGGAGGAGTGCCACGAAACGCTGTACTTGGTGGGCGGGACGCGTGCGGACGGCAGCAGTGGGACCTTCGGTGGGGGTCCGTATGGGGCCACGAAGCGCTGTACTGGGTGGGTGAAACGCACGGAGCAGGGGGAATAGGGCCACGAAACGCTGCACTGGGTGTGCGGGACGCATGCGGCCGGCAGCACTGGGACCTTCGGTGGGGCTCCCTATGGGGCCACGAATCGATGTACTGCGTGGGTGAAACGCAGGGCGCAGGGGGAGGAGTGCCACGAAACGCTTTACTGGGTGTGCGGGACGCATGCGGACGGCAGCACTGGGACCTTCGGTGGGGCTCCCTGAGGGGCCACGAAACGCTGTACTGCGTGGGTGAAACGCACGCAGCAGGGGGAGTAGGGCCACGAAGCGCTGTACTGGGTGTGCGGGACGCATGCGGCCGGCAGCACTGGGACCTTCGGCTCCCCATGGGGCCACGAAACGTGTACTGTTATTTGAAACGCAGGGAGGAGGGGGAGGAGGGAGGAGGAGGGAGGAGGGGAGGAGGAGGATGAGGGAGGACGCGGGGCGCTGTCTCTTCAAAGCGAGGACCCAACACCACAGGATGGTTGGGGGAAAAATTGAATTTTGAACTGTTGTTTGCAAGCTAATTTGTCGTGATACGAATCAGACTTGATTTCGTTTGTGGTAGGTTACACATCTACTTCTGCTGCTGCAAGTTGCACATCGCTTCCTGTACGTGCGGATTCCAATGTGATTCCGTCTGCGGCACTTTCAAAGCATTCATTGTGTGGCAACCTTGACCTGAGTTTTTTTTTTATTGTGGTGGCTGTCAAATACATTTTTCATGGTGCCCTTGCCAGAACATGTCCTTTTGTTGTGGTTTTGCATAACTATTCCCTTTGTGGCAGCTTTGCTTAAGAGCTCCTTTTTGTGGCGTCCTTACTACATGTCTCCTTTCGAGGCGGGGTTACCAACGGATTCCTTCTGCGGCCGTCTACAGGTTGATCCCTTTTGCAAACGATTGCGGCTTGATTCCTTTTGTGGTGGATTATGGGTTCATTTATTTTGTGGTCGATGCCAAACTGATTCCTTTTGAAGCCGCTTGCAGCTTGATCCCCTTTGTGGCGGTTCACAAGATGTTTTCTCTTTGTGGCTGGGTACAACATGATTCGTTTGTGGCGGACTACCAGAAAAGATTCCTTGTGTGGCGGAGGTAAAAGGTGTTCCTGCGTGGCGGAACTCACAAGCATTTTTTGTGGCGGGTTACACATGTAACACTTCTGTTGCGAATTGCGCATTGATTCCTTTGTGGACGTCCTTGGTAGCGAACGAGGGGGCGAACTACAAAACAAGAACTATAAGAATTGAGCATCTTTTTTTGTTGTTGATAAAAAATGCTGTGAGCCACGGTTATACTGCAACGCTTTCCGGCACGCGGATGCCAGGACCATAAACATAACATTTTCATACACCGCCTTGAGAATATACTGTGATTTCAAATGGTTTTGGCCTCCACGAATGAGAAAACGCTGCGTTTGGTATGGCTGTGGCATCCACGTGCAAGGCAGTGCTGTGAGTTGGTGAAAATTTGGCTCACAGCATTGAGAAACCATGGGGGGCATACGGTTTTCATAATTTGCCGTGTTTTTGTCATGCTATATGTTTTTCTTTTGTCGCCTCGCTCACCAAAAAGGAGGCCCACAAACATAATCAACTTGAACCCCGCCGCAACAGGGATTATTTTGCAATCCGCCGCGAAAGAAATAATTTCTGCAATCCGCTACAATGAGAACCCTTGTGTAATCCGACACTGAAAGGATCCTTTGGTAAACCACCACGAAAGGAATCCTGTTGTAATCGGCCACAGATGGGATCAAGTTGCAATCCGCTGCAAAAGGAATGAAGCTGCAATCGGCTACAAAAGGAATCAGGTCGTTATTGGTCACTCAAGAAATCAATTCGTAGTCTGCCACACAAAGAAAAAATCAATCAGCGGCCACAATAGGAACTAACTCGCAATAATAATTCTTTTGTTTTCTCTGCCTCGTGGGCCCCCAGAGGCTCCGAAGAGGCCCCTAAGATGCCCCCATGGGCCAGGCCCCCAATAAGCCTCCAAGAAGCCTCAAGAAACCACCGAGAGGCCCGCAGCGTTGTATACGAATGTCACGTTGTTGCTGTGCTTCTCGGAATTTGAACTTGGCGTTGCCTTGTGCCGACACGCGGTGAGTGCTGCTCGTTGCCCTCGTGGACACTCGCACGCTCGCCCTAGCGTTGAAACCATCCGCCCCCCGTGGCGCTGGCAGCGCCCTGGGGCAGGCAGAACGACACGGCAGAATAGCGCGGCAGACGACCAGGGCAAACCACACAGCGCCCAGTCTTTAAGTGCTCCGGACGTGCACCCCGCGATGCGAGAGGACACGCTTTGCAGAGACAACTCTAGCCGTTCAATGCCCCTGCGATGGGGCATATGAATGCAAAGCATGGGCTGGCTGCGCATTAGGCTTGCCGGGGCCGGCCCCCAGCGGGAGGGAGGAAGGAGGAGGGGGAAAGGGGATAACACATTTCCGTCTTTGAGAAATAGCAATTGTGTATCCCCGCCGTGCGATTCCCAGGGTTTTTCAATTTAAGTGCCCCCCACCGGGGCTCGCACCTAGTTTGTCATTGCAGAAGTATTGGGCATCAGAGTAAGCCCCTGGCCCCTGGACTCCAACAACAAGGGCTCCCGCCTGACACCTGACACTTCCCAACAGTTTCCTCAGCATCACGCTCGCGCGCGGGACCCTTTCACAATTTGCTCAGGAATTGCGCTCTTGCTCAAGACTTCCAAACAATTTACTCAAGCGCCGCGCCCTCGACGTCTAGGAGTCGCGCTCTCGCATCAGACTTCCTTGCAATTTACTCTGTGCTCTTGCTCTCGCCTGAAGCTTCTTCATAATTTGCAAACATCGCTTGCGTGCCCCGCCCACCCGACCCGCCCTTTCAGAGCCCGCCCGTCTGACACGCCCGTTGGGGTCCGTCTGTTCGCCTGCTTGAGGCCCGCCCGCCTCAATGTCCCACCCGACCTGCCCGCCAAGGTCCGCTCGCCAGACCCGACCCTTAGATTGAGCGATGAAAAAACGACCCTGCCCTGGGTTACAAGTGCGTGGTCTGTAAACCTCCTGGGAAGCCCAAAAGCCTAGAGAGCCGCCAGGGCGCCGCACATCACGCAGGGTTTACCCTGTCAGCCCACAGGAGTTTCAGCGCACAGCGCCTCGTAAATCAAGGTAGGGGATCTATATACATATATGGATATATTTATATATATATATGTGTGTATATATAAAAATATACAGGTTGTTTTGTTCTTTATGCCCTTGATTAGAGTCCGAACGCCCGACCCGCCAAATTATGGTCCACCCGCCCGACGCCCCCCGTTGAGGCCCGCCCGCGCGGCCCGCCCCTCCCCCCGCGCGCGTGGAGGCCCTGCCGCCCGCTCTGCCGCCCTGCCCTCCCAGCCCGCCCGCTCGGGTCCGCCCGCGCGACCCCGCCCGTCGGGGCCTGTCCCGCCCGACCCGCCCGCCGGGGCCTGCTTGCCGCAAGGGCAAGGATGGCTCCTCTCTCTCTGCCCCCCGACCTGCCAAATCCTCTCCGCCCTCAGTCCTTCTCCCTCCCGCTTGCCCCCCCCTCCCTCTTCTCTCGCTTCTTCCTGTTTTTTCCTCGCTCTCTCCCTCTTTTTCCTCTCCTCCTGCTCCTCCTCCTCCTCCTGTTTCAGGTGTCGCGCCAAGCACAGGTGGCAGGCTAGGAAGACGTACCCCTACAAGGGGGGTACGATAGAAGACGAAGAAGGCGGGCATCGAGGGCTTGGGGTGCACATGTTGAGTGGCACGTGATCGACGACACGCGGACAGTCTTACACGCATGGTTGTTGTTGCTGCTGCTGTTGTTGTCGTCGTCGCTGTTGTTGCTGCTGTTGCTGTTCCGGCTGCACGCAAGAGTTATCCTGGGTAGGACTAGCCTTTGGTGCGCGGATTTTGGGGGACCGCGAGGGGACCAAACACAAGCGCGCAAGACGCTACTATCGCATCGCGTTCGGCGATCGGGGGACCTCACCGGGCCCACACCAGAAGTCACAGTGGCGAAAAGGTCACCCTTACGTCTAATCGATTGCTGGCGGAATCTGAGTTTGGTCATGTCGCTCCCGGCCGGCGCGCCGCCGCCGCGTGTTGCCGTGGCTGCTGCTGGGGCTGCTCAGCGGGGGGCTGCCTGGGGCTGCTCAGCGGGGGGCTCCTCCCCTCCTCCTTTTCCCTCTTCCCTCCTCCTCCTCCTCCTCCTCGTACTCCTCCCTTTTTCATACTCTTATTATTCTTCTTCTTCTTCTTCTCGCCTCCTAACCCGCAGCCCTCCAGAACCCTCTTGAGAGCTCCGAGGGACCTGTGTTTTACTAATGCAGACCCCTCGAGACCTTTCCTCCTCCTTCTCCTTCCCTTTTTCCTTATGCACGACTCCTCCCTGTCGCGCCCCCGGACGTGTTGGTAGGGCGGGCTGGGCGTGTCGCCCGATCATTGCTTACCATGTTGGCCAGCGTGGGCCCCAAACACTGTCTCTTACAACAGTGTGTGCGGTGCAGTCTAGGTGGTGCAATCAGGGTGGTGCAATCTACACCCTGCGAAATGCTTTAGAAATCATGGGTTAAGAAATTGATAGTCTCAGAATTTAGATAAAACCCATAATGCCCATTCAAATCTTAGGATTTACATTGAAACATTAAGAATAATCGAGACTCTGGCCGAAAACTGAGGTTTTCTTAAGCATCGCCTAAGGTGTAGATGGCGCAATCCATGTGGTGCACATGCGAGGCAACAACGCGAACAAGTGCGACACAATGCAAAGGAATGCAAACAGTGTAATGCGATGCAAAGCAATGCGAAGCAATGCAGGCAGATCGCATCAACGCCAAGCAATGCACATCAATGCAACACAATGCAAGGCAACGCAAAGCAGTGCAACGCAACTCGAATAGATGCACAGCACAGCAAAGCAAGACAGGCTCCTGCCTTCGGAGGCAAAGCAATGCGAAACAGCGCAGTGCAACTCAGAGCAACACCGGCGACGCCAACGGGGGGGGGTGCAGCGGGAAGGGGAGATGCGGGGGTGCAGCGGGGCGGCGGCGACGGACGAGAACGGGGCCGCCGTGTCAACAGACGGACTTCTTTGAAGGGGAACTGGAACTAAATACACACAAATAAAAATATCCCCCATATTTTCCCATATTTTCTGGGTTTCTGTCTTCCCCCCCACTTCCCATATTGTCCCATATTTTCTGGGAAATCGAAATTTAATTGTGTCTGTGTGTTTTCTTCCCTCCTGATTATTAGGAAACAGAAGGCGGCGACGGACGGGAAGGGGGGCCGCCGGGCCGACGGGCAGGCCCAGTTGGAATGGAAGTGAGATGCCCCAGGTGCAAACAGTGTTCTGGATGAGCTTCGGCATTGTCGAGGATGGAGTGGGGGGGGCTGCCCGTTGTCACAGTGTGGCTCTCGCCTTCGCGCCGAAGCACATTCGGTTTAAAAACAGTTCCAGCAGTGTCAAAAACGGAGGGCGGGTCATTTTCAGAATGATGCTCTCGCCTTAGCGCCGCGTGCATTCGTTTCGACATTTGAAGCAGCGTCAAGGGTGGAGGGCGGGTCGTTTTCAAAGTGTAAGTATCGCCTTCGCGCCGCGCATATTCGTCTTAAGCGTTTGCGCCATTTTCAAAGTTGAAGGGCGGCTCTTTTTTATATAAGTTCTCGCCGCGCATATTCCCCTGAAGAGTTTGCAGCTGTTCCAAGATTCGAGCGGTTGAAATCCCAAGAATGGCGTTCTAGTGCGATTCAGGATTGTCGAGACGCAACGGTAACGTTCATTCGCAGTGTTGAAGTCCCAGGAACGGTGTTCTGGCACGATTTCGGATTCTCAGGACACAACAGTAATGTTGATTCGCGGCGTTGAAATCCCATAGGCTGTGTTTTGGCACGGTTGGAAATTCTCAAATGATTGTCCACGAATGGGGGGACTTTCCACAATGAAAACCATTCCTTATAGGGGCTTATTAAAAAAGAAATTGGAGATAGGGTTTATTGCGACACCGTTGATGCGTCTTTGGTTTGCTCTGGTCCTCCTCCTCCTCCTCTCCACCCCGGAAGGCATCTGGGTCAGGAGCACAGGTGCACTGAGCGACAGGCGCTCGCTCCCACACATTTTCCTACATGCCTCTTTTCTGAGACATCCCCTCTTACATCTTATCCATGCTAATGGCTTATAGATGCTTCTGTGTGGGCTGCTGGCTCCTGCTCGTCATCGATGGCTGGACTTCGTGTCGGCTTCCCCCGGCACTTCATGGTGGAGGGCGCAGACAGGAGGGTGTGGATCGAGGTGACGGCGCGGCCGGAGAGCTGATGCATACGTCGAAGTGCGGGGACGAGATTACCTACCGAAAGGGGAACGCGGACCGCATGAAGGAGGGTCTGAACGAGACCACGGGCGAGACCTGTCTGGACAGGGCCCCGTCCCAGAACGAACTGAATCGATTGTATGCGGCCCGCGATCCTCCTCTTCTCCACTTTGTCGTTGCGATCGATTGCGCGATTTCGGGCCCGACCGATTCGAGCTGAACTTGCCTCTGACCGTCTCAATCCGTTTGCCTTTTTGACCTGTAGCTATGCTGCTACTGCGCTATGTTGTGTCGGGGTGAGCTTATTCGCCGTTCACCTTCGGCCCGCTATGTAGTGTGGAGTGCCTAGGCGAGCCCCCCGCGGTGTCCCCAAATGGGGGTCTCGCTTGGCCAGTGGTATTCCCCTGCAGGGCCCCAAAGACTATCGTGCCCCAAAGTGGTTCTCGAACACCTGATCCGTTTTTTGTTTTCCCTTGAGGGCCCTCAGGGTGCGCTTGCTCGAGGCTGTGGTACTTCATCGGATCATTGGTGCTGCTCTGCTCTGCTCTCCACCCCAGAACGGCGTCACAAGGCGGCGTCCCGCCTGTCGGGTGCCACCCCTCCGCCTTCCAAGAGGCCCTCCTGGCATCTGAAGAAGCGCACCCAAACGTCCCCGACGTCGTGCTGTTCTGGCAGCGTGTCTCCGCAAAAGATCTGGACCACATCCTGGTGATATGTCTTTAACTCTGCATCGTTTTCTCATCCAGCAAGGGCCCGCGGAGGCCGAAGACTACAAAAATCCTTGGGTGCGTTTTGGACGCGACGCGAGGAGGTCAGGCCCTGCCTCCTCTTCAGCGGCAAGGGGGAGCAGGGCCGTGACGCATGGGCGCCGTCCACAAAAAATCGCGACGGGCGTCCAGGCCCGCCCGCAAGCAGAGAATGGCCCCATGCAAGCATGACCTTTGGTGCGCGGGTTTGCGCCAAGATTGGGGCAAACCCAAGCGTGGAAGCCGCTGCCACCCAATCGCATTCAACGGTCGAGGGACCCCCGGTGGCCCGCACCAAAGGAGGTCACTCCAACAAAGGGTCCCCCGTGTGTATAACCGAGAAGAGAGCCTCACACAAGGCGGCTCGAACGCTCACTACTGAACGATCTCCGCTCTCCGACGTCCCCAGAAGCTTCCGACCCCAACTCCCGCAAGAATTTCGCGCCGTGGGTGGTTTTCTGTGGACCCCCCAGCCCGACACTGGTCCAGCTCAATCTTCCAGGCCCGCGCCGTCATCACCGCCGCCTGCTGGCGACGCGAAGCCTGCCGCAACCTCCTGCAACCGTTCGTCTCGGGTCAAGCAAAGGAAGCGGGGGGGGGCGAATCAGCTCACGTAGCTGGTTTTCTGGGCGCCTCTTGGTACCGGAAGCGCCCCCATACGCAGGAAGACGCCCGGCGGTGAAGGCCGAAACCAAGTGATCGCAACAGATTTCGTACCCGCCCAATTTCCTGGTCCCCCGCCTTCCCAGACATCCGGCGTCGTGTTTTCTAAGGCCTGGACCCCCTCCCCGGGACCGGATTTTCATCCTGAGTCGTTTCTTGACGGCCCTGGGGCCCAGCAAGGGCCCTCGGAGGCCGGGAGCCATAGGCATCCCAGTGGTTCTTGTTTCCCATAACGCGAGGGGGTCAGGGCCTGCCCCCTCTTCAGCGGCAAGGGGAGCAGGGCCGTGACGCATGGGCGGCGTCCGTAAAAACCGCGACTGGCGTCCAGGCCGCGTGTCGAGCCCGCGGAGCACTCAAGGATCGGCCCAGCTCGAAAATCGCCCGCCCGCAGAAAATGGCCCCATGCAAGTATGACCGTTGGTGCGCGGGTCTGCTGGGGGCCAGGGTTGGGGCAAACCCTGTGGAAAAGCGCCTGGGCTCGTCCGATTAGCGCGAAAAAGCTTCCACCAGAAATGGAAAAGTGGAAAAGTGGAAAAGTGGAAAAACGGAAAAACGGAGAAGGGAACAGAAAAGTGGAAAAGCGGAAAAGCGGAAAAACGGAGAAGGGAACGGAAAAGTAGAAAAGTGGAAAAGTGGAAAAGCGGAAAGGATATCAGAAAAGTGGAAAAGTGGAAAAGCGGAAATGCAGAAAAAAAAAAACGACGAAGGGAACGGAAAAGTAGAAAAGTGGAAAAGTGGAAAAGCGATACAGCGCACAGGATATTCAGAAAAGTGGAGAAGCGGAAAATTGGAAAAACATGAAAAAAACAATACAGGGAAATATCAAGTAGAAAAATGGAATAATGGAAGAGCAGAAGCAAGAAGAGCCGTCTTCGGGGTCTCTGGGTCCTCGTGGGCTCTTGGGCCGCCTTGGGAGCGTCGTGAAGCCTCTGATGGTCGATCCTGGATCCTCGATCCTCGATTCTCGACGGTCGAGGTTCGAAACAGGTAGAGGATCACGTACTGACTCTGGATCGACGCTCGAGGGTCGAGGTTTGATTGAGGATCGATCGAGGATGGAGGCTCGATTGAGGATCGAACGTCAAAGATCGAGGATGGAGGGTGGACATTGGATCGAGGATCGACGATCCAGGGTCGAGGATACTGGATCGAGAACTGCCGAGCACTCGAGGTAGGAGGTTCCATCGAAGATCGAGGATCATTGATCGATCGAAGATCCAGGTTCGATCGAGGATCGCGGATCGCAGATCGATGATCGAGGATTGACTTTCGCTAGCTCCGATCGAAGATCAGAGTTCCATCGAGGATCGAGGATCGAAACTGGATCGAAGATCGAGGATCCAGGCTCGTTCGAGGACCGAGGATCGAGTTTCGATCGCGGATCGAGGATCGCCAGGATCGATCGAGCATCGAAGATCGATTGA